GTAATATTTGGGGTCACAAGTTTTTGCCATGGATATTTTGTGGGTCAGAAGATAAAAAGTTTGGGAACCACAGTTATAGATATTTTCCAAAATTTCAAAGTGTTGAAGTTTCAGAGCTGACAGACTCTTTCTGCCTCTGTGGACTCTGCTGWCTCCACACCCCCTGGTGTGTGTTGGTCCTCGGGTSAGACAGATGTATTTCTGCTCCTGCAGGACTCAGGCTATGAATAGGCAACTAAATGAAGAAAAGTTTGGCATTTATTGATCAAAGTTTCACAGATTAGTATCTGCAACATGATCATTATTACAAGTGTATTTATTAGGTTGGACAAAAACAGCTGGTTTGTGATTATTACATTATTACATCATAATTTCTACAAAGAGCAACAACCACATTTTGTAACATTTGCTGTAAAATATAATAATGTTATTACATTATGTGGCTGCGAGTATTACAAAATGCATTGAAGACTTTTATTACATTTTGTGTCATTAATTACATAATGTAGTTTTAGTGCTGGTTTATTACATTTTGAAGCCTTATTTTATTTCATTATTACATTATGTGTTGTTATTACAAAATGCAGCATTACAGTGCTCCCTAGTGACTTGTTTCACTTGTAAACAGTACGGTTTGATAAATTCACGCAGCATTTTTCTCTGCTTGTTTTCATTCAAAAATCTCTCACTCTGTCCTTTTTCTCCTTCATCATTTCAGCAGAGGTTTCTGTACCCCAGATTGTGTCAAGTGAGCAGCTACCAAATGAAAACCTGAGTGTTGCTCTGGACCAGAAGATTGTTTCTCCCAATCGTGTCCTGGCCGACACTAGCTCCTTTGCACAGGTCATCGTAGGTTTCCCAGATCTCATGGTGAGACTATAGTTAAAGTGCATTGATCACACTTTTTTCTTGGTCAGTTCTGAATTCTTTCAGATGTTTTTATTTATTTATTTATTTATTTATTTTTGAAAGCTATGACATCACTTTCAGTGTCAGATTTGGATTAGATGAAATCATAAACCCATTACACGAGTCAGTTCTAAGTGGACCAAATGTGAAAATCATCAATAGGTGGCGCTAGTGTGATGTGTAAGACATTTTGATCTATAACTCCTGTATACTTAGCCCAATCAACAAAAACATTCACTAATTGACCATTTGTACTGTAGTTTTGATTTAATATATGTTGGTTTAAAAATGTATTGTTGTTTATGCAAATTGGCAAAATATGCTAAATCTTTAAAAACTATCTCCTCTAAAGGCACAACTCCAATAAGCATGAAACTTCTCCTGTAGCACCTAGATTAGTGGTTCTACAAATGATGTGAAGGAAAAATTGTTTGGTTTTTCTATGACCGRGTTCTGTTTATTTAAATACAAAGCTAGCTTGTTTGCGTTACCAAAAATGAGTTTTTTTTACATATGTTAAAACATAAACTTTTTTATTTGTATTTAAATGGAAATAATGCCCATCTGTTCACAAAGTGTTTATAGTAAGAAGTTTTATAGTTTACAAAAAGAAGTGCCAAACTTTATCTTTCTCACCAAATTCAACTTTCTGAGCAAATGCAAAAACGGTGCACTAACAAAACACATTATACAATAGTGATACAAAAATGTGCACAGTGGTATAATTTGCAAAGATAATGATAAACATAAAAGGATTAAAAATAAATCTAAATAGACAATAAGCTAAAATTCGGAAAACGATAGCAGAACATGCTAAAAGTGGCAGAGTGGTTTATAGGTAAAAGTTAAAGAGGCTGAAATACCTTTTTAAAAACGTTTTTGAAGCAGTTGAATACACAGTATCTCAGTGTTTGTTTATATGGGGAATTTTGTTTTCAATAAATCTAAGTGTTTAGTTTCGTGGCAAGTTTATCAAGAATGCAGAAACACGTTGGAATAAATGCACAGAAAATCTGCGTGTATGGTCGTGAATTATTTAATTCTGGGCAACAACAAACAGAAAACAAATCAAGGGAGTCTGTTTCATTGTGGCCCAGAATTACATAATTCATGACCATACACGCAGATTTTCTGTGCATTTATTCCAACGTGTTTCTGCATTCTTGATAAAGTTGCCACGACAGTTTATTGGCGTTGTCGGCAGGGTTTGATACAAGGTCAATGGAAAACACAAAGATACAAGTGATATCTAAGAATACTGTTGTTAGCAAATCTTGTTCTGACTTTAATCATTCTGTCTGCAGATGAACATCATGTCATGAAAACCTAGGTCATTAAAGGATGTCATGACTTACTTGCTTAAACATAAAGTATTAGTTCTATTACATTTAGTAAAGAATATTATTCACAAAACTATTAGTCTATCACATTATTCCAAAGAGAGCTGACCATTTTCATATGTGCAAATTTAAATATTATAAAATATGCAAAAGTAGTTGGGCTGAAAAAATAAACTAGAGAAGAAATTGTAAAGAGGAAAACAATGAAGGGAGTTCTGACTCAGGTTTCACAGAATAATGCCCGTAGAACTCAATGACACAACTTCATGGTTCAAACAAAGCTGGTGATATTTTCCTCATGTTGTTTTTTCCTGACCAGTCACCTAATGAGGTGTACAGCTTCAGGAGACCTGTAGACCTGTCAGCCGTGAAATCCAGCGAGGGCGGGTCTCACTCATTCTTTCGAGGTGGGCTTCGAGGCGGAGCCGTCAAAAGGGAGAATTGCGTCGTTCTGCTCTCGGCCAATCAGGTGGTCCGAGCCATTTCCCCTGCCAAGGTGCCTCTGAAGGACATATACCCCAAAGGTTAGAGCTCAGGTCACATTTGAGTCATTGAAACTGTTAAAACTGAAAATGTTGTGACTTTATAACTATTTTCTCTCTTTATTTCTCAGATGTCACGCCTCCTATGACATCAGCATACCTGGAAGTGACTGACCTCACATCCAAAAAGCTTAAATACATTCCAGTTCCAAGGTAAAGACATGTGTGAGCTCTTTTATCAAGAGGGAAATTTAGATTTTCACACACCAAACATGCATTTTAGAGAAGTTTGTTTTTAAGAAATAGTACTGTTGTATAATATTTAGCATTTCATTGTTGATCTGTGGTATTATTTAATTGAATTTTGAGGACTGGTGAAACCTACAGGGTTCCTGCAGATCCTTAAAAAGTCTTGAAAGACATTGAATTTATCAATCAAAAAATAAGGCCTTAAAGGCACAGTGTGTAGGATTTGTTGTTTTCAGCGACATCTAGTGGTTGAGTGGTTGAATCATCCTCCCTGGTCCTCCCCCCACCCCCACCCCCCGCTTCCAAACACAAAGGAGTTGCTATGGTGTCTCCCAGGTGTCAAAAACCTTTTTGTTAATTCCAACTGCGATGTCTACCAGCAGCTTCAGGG